GGAAATGCAACTGATTCCTTCATAAATCAATGGAACTGTTGCTGACAGTGGTGACTTACTTTTTAAACCAAGGCCAAGGAGCAGTAAGCAGGCTATTATTTTTATACAGTCAATGCTGCTCAATTTCTGTCTGTCTCTCTCGCTTTCTCTCTCTCTCTCTATATATATACATATACATAATATATATATATATATACATACATATACATAATATATATATATATATATATAAAATAATTGTCCTCATTAGTTTCCTTTTCCAAGTAACTTGTTAATATCAGTGGATACCCATCTTAACCCTATGAACAAGAATTCTCAGTCTCCATGTTACGTGACCATAATAATGATTATGGTGTCATTTATTTAGTACCATGTGCCAAGTACTTTATATGCATTTTCTCATTTAATCCCTGCAATCCTGTGAGATAAGTGGTTTACAGATGGAGAAAATGAGCTCAGTATGATTAAGTAATTTGCTCGAAGTCACACAGACAGAAAACGGTCTAAGAGATTCAAATCCAGGTCTGTCTCCAAAGTCTGTGCTTTTAAAAATTACTAGTTTTTTACTAATTTATGACTAATATCATAGTCCAGTTCAAAACAGAGATCATTGTCTCTACCTTGGCCACTCAGAAAGTAAAGCTACCTTAAATCTATCCCTTGTTATGATACAGAAGAAACAACGATTCTTTTTATTTGATTCTTCCTCTTTGCACAAGAGCAGTTTTTTTGTGTTTTTGTAGGGAGACCATGTAATGGATGAGAATCTCAAGGGAAGGTATGTTGGGTTATTTTAAAATCTATTGCATTTACAACGCTCTTAGAAAACTATAAATACAGAGGGATTGTTCTCCATTTGATAAAGAACATCGACAAAAAACCCTACAGTTAATATCATATTTAATGATGAAAGACTGAATGCTTTTCCCCTAAAATCAGGAACAAGGCAAATATAAAGATTTATACTGCTCTTATGCAACAGAGTGCTAGAAGTCCCAGCCAATGCAATATCTCAAGAAAAGAAAATTAAAAGTATACAGATGAAAAAGGTAAAAATAAAACTGTTTCAGTTTGTAGATAACATGGTAACATCCTAAGAAAGTGACAAAAAAAACTTCTAGAAAGTTCAGTTAAGGTTGCAAGATACCATATAAGCATACAAAAAACAATTATGTTTCTATATACTGGCAATGAACGATGGCCACTGAAATTTAAAGTGTAATACTATTTACCATCACAAACAAAAAAGGAGAAATTAAGTACTTACGTATAAATTCAGCAAAACATGTACAAGATTTGTATGCTGAAAGCTACAAAGTATTCATGAAAGAAATCAAAGACAACCTAAATCAACACAGAAACATACCATGTTCATGGATTGAAAAACAACATAGTAAATACATAAATTCTTTCCACATTGATATATAGGTTTAAACATAATTTCTATCAAAATCTCCGTAAGACGGTTCATAGATGCAGACAGACTTATTCTGAAATTTATATGGAAAGGGAAAGGAAGCAGAAGAGGTAAAACAATTTTGAAAACAAAAAATGAAATGGGAGAAATTACTCTATCTGACTTAAGACATACATAGCTGCAGTAATCAAGACTGTGTCATTTGGTAAAAGGGTAGACACATAGATCAATGGAACACAATAGGGAACTCAGAAACAGGCCCCTCACAAGTATGGCCAAATGATTTTTTACAAAAATGCAAATGCAATTTAATGGAGAAAGAATAGTCTTTCCAAGAAATGGTGCTGGAGCAACTGGCTATCTATAGTGGGGGAAGAAAAAAAGAACCTTGACCTAAGCCTCACATTGTATACAAAAATGAATTCAAAATGGTTCATGGACTCAAACATAAAACTCTAAAACTTTTAGAAAAAAAAAAAAAACAGAGAAAAAACTTTAGGATCAAGGACTTAGCAAAGTGTTCACAGACGTGACACCAAACACATGATAAACCGGACTTCATCAAAATTCACACTTTTGCTCTGAGGAAAGCAAAAGTTTCTCCTCTGTTAGAAGGATGAAAAGACAAGCTACATAGGCTGGGAGAAAATATTTGCAAACCATGTACCTGACAAGGCACTCATATCTGGAATACACACAGAACTTTCAAAACTCAACAGTAAAAAACCCAAACAGTCTAAGCAGAAAATGGGCCTAAGACCTGAAGAGGCATTCTATCAAAGAGGATATGCAAAAGCCAATTAAGGACATGAAAAGATGTCATGCATCACTAGCTGTTATGGAAATGCAAATTAAGAGCATGATGAGATATCACTGTAATCTTACAGAACAGCTAAAATAAAAATTAAAAATGACAACATCAATTTTTACAGACAACACTGTATTCTTACAGAACAGCTAAAATAAAAATTAAAAATGACAACACCAATTGCTGGTGAGGATGCAGAGAAACTATCTCATAGGTTACAGGTGGGAATGTAAAATAGTACAGTCACTCTAGATAAGAGTTTCACCGTTTTTTTTAGACACCAAACATATACTGACCAGAAGATCTAGCAATCACACTCCAAAGTATTTATCCCAGAGAAAGAAACACGTATGTTTACCCAAAAACTTGTACACAAATATTTATAGCAGACTTATTTGTAACAGCCCCAAATTGGAAATAATAAGAATGTCCTTCAATATGTGAATGGCTAAACAAACAGTGGTACATCCATACGATGGAATCCTGCTCAGCAACAAAAATGAACAAGCCGACAACCTAAATGGATCTCAAGGCATTATGCTGAGCCAAAGCAAAGCAAAGCAAACAAAAGCTCCAGTCTCAAAAGGCCACACACTGTACAATTTCATTTCTTTTTTTTTCTTTCTGAGACAGAGTCTTGCTCTGTCGCCCAGGCTGGAGTGAAGGAGCACGATCTTGGCTCACTGTAACCTCCACCTCCCAGTTCAAGTGATTCTCCTGCCTCAGCCTCCCAAGTAGCTGTGATTACAGGTGCCCGTCATCACGCCCAGTTAATTTTTGCATCTTTAGTAGAGATGGGGTTTCACCATTTTGGCCAGGCTGGTCTCGAACTCCTGACCTCAAGTGATCCACCAGCCTCGGCCTCCCAAAGTGCTGGGATTACAGCCATGAGCCACCACGCCCGGTCATATAATTTCATTTCTATAACATTCTCAGAATGACACAATTCTAGAGATGGAGCACAGATGAGTGATTGCCAGGGGTAGGGGTGGTGCAGAGAGAACGTATTGTGGCTATAAAGGCTACCAAAAGGGAAACCTTTGATGAGGGAATAGTTTTATATTTTGATTGCAACACACAAATCTATTCATATACACGTGATCTATAAAATGGTACAGAACTACTGTCTCTCTCTCTCTCTCACACACACATACACACACACACACACACACACACACACACACACACACACAGCACCTATGTCAATTTCCTGGATTTGATATTGTTATAGTCACACATAGTTTGTAACCATTGGAGGAAACTGGGTGAAAGGTAGGTGTGATCTCTATGGAACTTCCTGTGAATCTCTAATTTCAAAATAAAGAGTTAAAAAAAGTCTCTTGAGTAAGGTCTGAAAGAAATCTGCTTTTCACAGTTATGAAGAGATTCCACAGCATTTCTCTTTCCACTTCAATATTTTAACCCCCTTCCATATTTCGAAAGGCTCAAAGCCACTGGTTTCATTATTCTTCTCCTTCCTTCAATTTCCTCGGCTGTCAATGAGCTGAGGCTTTGGACCAAACCACAGCTAACTCAAAGAATGAAATGAAAGAATGCCCAGGCTAAGCCCAGGACTTGGAGGTCCAGGGCTTCCCTGGCCTCTGAGGGGCCCACAGCAGTCCCATGGGGTTTTGAAAGGGAGAGAGCCCTAGCCCAGAGCAGGCAAAGGCCAAAGCACCAGGTCTATGCCCACCTTCCGAACCACACATCAGGCTGCTGGGGAGATGACCACAGGTGTTAGGTAGGAGGTGGTACTCCACTCCAGAGGTGGGGCTCAGACGCCAGACCAGATTGAGGACTGGCTAAAACAGGGCCAAGGTGAAAGCAGTTTTCAATCAGACCTGCCCACCAGTGTGCCATGTCAATTTACTATTGCCATGGCAACACCTGGGAGTTGTCACCCCTTTCCACGGCACCCAATGATCCAAAAGTTATTATCCCTTCCCTGCATAAACCACCCCTTAATCTGCATGCCATTAAAAGTGAGTATAAGGCCAGGCACGGTGGCTCACACCTGTAATCCCAGCTCTTTGGGAGGCTGAGCAGGCAGATCACAAGGTCAGGAGTTCAAGACCAGCCTGGCCAACATGGTGAAATCCCATCTCTACTAAAGATACAAAAAATTAGCTGGGCATGGTGGCAAGCACCTGTAATCCCAGCTACTCAGGAGGCTGAGGCAGGAGAACCGCTTGAACCTGGGAGGTGGAGGTTGCAGTGAGCTGAGATCACGCCACTGCACTTCAGCCTGGGTGACAGGGTGAGACTCCGCCTTGGAAAATAAATGAATAAATAAAAATAAAAATTAAAATTAAAGTGAGTATAAATATGACTGCAAAACTGCCCTGAGCTGCTACTCTCTGCCTACGGGGTAGCCCAGCTCTGCGGGAGCAGTCACACAGCTGTCACACTGCCGCTTCAGTGAGGCTGTTTGCTTCTACTCCTGGCTTGCCCTTGAATTCTTTCCCAGGCAAAGCCAAGAACCCTCTCAGGATAATCCCTACTTTGGGGCTCATCTGCTCTGCATCGGGTGGGACATCAACAGATGTGTTCAGCAAAGGACAGCATCATGCTCTGCACAGCACTCAGCTTCACTCTTTATCCCAGGGAAATGGGGTACCCTTGGCAACTGGCTGTTGGTGGCACACAAAGGAAAGGTATGGCTGTTTGCTTAAGGCCATGTTGTACAAGAGATTTGTGTCCACATAATGCTAAGGTCTGTTGGAGAGGGAAGGAAGGGGCCGGGGGGGGAAGGGAACAGGTGGGAAGACTTCTTACCTGTAAAACAAGGTCTGAATCTTCATGCCTTCCAATTGTGGTACTTTTATTTAGGACAAAAAAACCTTCTGCGCTCTTCAGATAGGCTTTCATTCTCTCTGTTTTCCCTACATAAGGTTTTCAGAAAGAATTTTGTTAGAAAAATTCAGTCCTCCAATTATTCAGCAAAGTCACACTTAGAATGAATGAAATAACCATTGAGTCATGTCCAAAGTGAGAAATTCGAAGAGCGGGGAGTCGATAGATGAGTCAACAATGAAAAGGACAATTCTGCAGGTTTTTTTTTTAAATTTATTTTATTGCATTTTAGGTTTTGGGGTATATGTGAAGAACATGCAAGATTGTTGCATAGGTACACACGTGGCAGTGTGATTTGCTGCCTTCCTCCCCATCACCTACATCTGGCATCTCTCCCCTTGCTGTCTCTCCCCAACTCCCCACCCCCCACCATCCCTCCCCTATTTCCCCCCAACAGACCGCAGTGTGTAGTGCTCCCCTCCCTGTGTCCATGTGTTTTCATTGTTCAACACCCGCCTATGAATGAGAACATGCGGTGTTTGATCTTCTGCTCTTCTGTCAGTTTGCTGAGAATGATGGTTTCCAGGTTCATCCATGTCCTTACAAAGGACACAAACTCATCATTTTTGATGGCTGCATAATATTCCATGGTGTATATGTGCCACATTTTCCCTGTCCAGTCTGTCATCGATGGACATTTGGTCTACTATAAGGACATGTGCACACGAATGTTCATTGCAGCACTGTTTACAATTCTGCAGGTTTTTAAGATGATGTCTTCTAACCATGAAATCTGGCATAGGAAAGCCTGGTTCTAATCATCAAACAGAGGGTATTTCTTAAGTAACTCAGGACACAAACAAAAGTTAAAACAACCTGACAACAAATCTGAGTTCCACTGATAATTGCTTTCCACCACCCAGCAAGCTTAGTATGAGCTTAGTGATCTGGCATACCAGAAATTCAAGTTCAGTGTTCCTAACCCATCCCTTACTAGCTCTGTGACCTTGGAGTTACTTATTCGCTCTCCATGACTCAGTTTCCTCATCTATAAAATGGGTATTGTTTTTTTGAGACAGGGTCTCAATTTGTCTCAATCAGGGTCTCAATCTTGGCTCACTGAAGCCTCAATCTCCTGGGCTCAAGCAATCCTCCTGCCTCAGCCTCCCAAGTAGCTGACACTACAGGTGCATGCCACCACACCTGGCTAATTTTTTGTAGAGATGGAGTCTTGCTACGTTGCCCAGGCTAGTCTCAAACTCTTGAGCTCAAGCAGTCCTCCCACCTTGACCTCCCAAAGTGCTGACATTACAGATGTGAGCCACCACACCAGCCTAAAATGGGTTTTGTGAGGATTAAATGCGGTAATACATGTGAGGTATCTAGAACAGTGCCTGGCACACACTGAACACTCATTTGTACTACTCGTATTAGTGTTGTTTAACCTGGGCTTGTCAAACTCTGATCCAAGGAAGCCTAAACTTCTATGGGGTTTATTTTATTCATTCATTCATATTTAGAGATGGGGTCTTGCTCTTTGCCCAGGCTGAGTATAGTGGCACAATCATAGCTCACTGCAGCCTCGAACTCCTGGGCTCAAGTGATCCTCCTGTCTCAGCCTCCAGAGTAGCTAGGAATACATGCATGCCACCATGCCTGCTTTAGAGTTCCTTGAAGCGTTAGCATTGGAGAGGCAGGCATTCAATGATGTTTTTCTTGTGAAATCACTGTATTTCTTCATTTATTTAGTTAGGGGAAAAAAGATTATTTCTAAAGGCAAAACATCAAGATTATAGCTCAGCCATGTGGTCAGGACCCTGGACAGGATTTCCCCCAACATTTTACTATAAAAATGTCAAACATACCGAGAGGCTGAAAGAAGCAGATAGTGAGCTCCTATGTACTCACCACCGAGATTCTACAATCGGCATTTTGCCATATTTGCTTTATTACATATCTTTCCAGCTAACCATGTGTCCATCTTACATTGTGGTGATTTCGAAATAAGTTCTGTACACATTCTTTTAAGACAGACACTTCAGTGTCTTTAGGAAGTTCTAAAATGTCAACAGTAATTCATTTCAATGCTTGAATCCGATTTGAGATTAGGTCCAAACATGCAGTGTGATGTCCTCTACCTCAATGCCTTGTCAAAGAAGAACAGTCTCTCTCTTGCCTATCAAGTGAAAAGTCACTGAAATGCCAAATTATTGGACTATGGATAAAAACAAAAATCAACTAGTTGTGATGGCACAGAATCTCAGGGCTGGTTCCGCCTGTCGCCATCATCTCTGTCATCATTCACGAGTCCCTAATAAGTGCCAGGCACTCTTCCTTGAATAATCTCTTTTCACCCTCAGAGCAACCCTGCAAGGTAAGTGTGATTATTGTCCTACTTTACAGATAAGGAGAGAATGAGCTGCAGAGAGGTTAAGGTCACCTAGCATTAGGTCAGGGAGAGAACGCTGAGCCGTTCAGGCAGCTCACCTTTTCACACCTCCATGGCTGCTGGGTGGGGAGGGGATGGGTTGGAGGAGCAGAGAGAGGGATTGTGTGGGGGAAGGGAGAGGTTGTCCTGGTTTGTTGACACTTGGGACATGAAATAACAGATAGCCCTTAACACCAGAATTCTATCCTCTGAAAAAGAGAAAAGACCCTACCTGGGAGTAAGAGAAATAAAAACAAGCCAGGTAGTTTATGTTTGTAAATTCCAAAGCCTATGAGAAACTCTCAGAAATATTAATACTTTCATATCAAGATAAATAATATTTTTAAGTCTGCTGTCTTTAATAGAGATAAAAAGACATTTCTTTTTCCAAAAGAACCACGCCCTATTGCCCTCGAATTGCCTGAGTTAATAATCTTCAGTTGAGGAGGACTACATTATCAAGTACCACATTCAAAACTAAAGTAAAACTAACCTAAAGTCAACTTTCGAGAAATGTCCCTTGCGAGAAAGCCACAGGAAATGCCACCAGAATAAAACCCCAAACCTGGACGATTGGCATTTTTTGTTCTTCAGCACTTCCCCAGATGTTCCCACAGCTGGTGCCTTGTGGTAGCTATCTGGCCACCCCGGCTAAAGGCGACTTCAGTCGCTTCTTTGTCTAGCTAGCATGTGTCGCTGCTGTGGTGCCTTCCTTGAGCTTATCATTCTGCCATTTTCTTGTTCGTTACTTAGCTATGTGTTTACTGTTCCCCTTTCACTAAGATATACGTTCCAAGAGAGTCAGAACTGTGTAGCTTTTGTTAGTCAATTATCTATGGGTTTCTTGTGTTTTTACCCATCTTCAGAGCAAAGACACTGACAGATTTTGTTCCACACGATCTTTCCAAGGATATCTGTAGGGCAAGCTTCCTGGGAGGATAGGGATAGTGTCCCTGTCAAGGGCAGAGTAGAGATTTGTTTATGATAAAGATGTCATCTCTGGCTGAACATGGTGGCTCACACCTGTAATCCCAGCACCTTGGGAGGCCAAGGTGGGCGGATCACCTGAGGACTCAGGAATTCGACACCAGCCTGGCCAACACGGCAAAAGCCCATCTCTACTGAAAATACAAAAAGATTAGCCGGGCATAATGGCATATACCTGCAGTCCCAGCTACTCTGAAGGCTGAGACAGGAGAATGGCTTGAATCTGGGCGGCAGAGGTTGCAGTGAGCCGAGGTTGTGCCACTGCACTTCAGGTGGGAAACATGAGTGAAACTCCATCTCAAAAAAAAAGAGAGAGAGAGAGATCATTTTTTCCAGGGCAAAGGTTGGGCACTGGCTAGCAGCTCCTTTTAAAAGACTGGAGTTTCCTGAGCTTGGGGTTCCTTACTGGGAATCAGACTTGCAGTGTGCACAGCATCCGCCTGGGCTGCCCTGATCACCCCAGGGGTCTTGCAGGGCAAGCTGAACCAATGCAAACATGAAGCTCACAGTGCCTGCTGTGCTGAGTAATAACATCCTTTGTCTCTGGTCCTGGTGTCTCTGGTCTTCTGCTAGCATCATTAAGCAGTGGCAGACTCACTTAGCTTGCAAGTAGTGTAAAATCTCAGACCCTTTGCAGTTCCTCACAGTTCTGTTCATTATTCCAATTTCATTTTTCCTTTCAGTATTAATCCTAGATGACATTTTGAAAAAATTGTCTATTTCTTTAGCTGAATGGGTTGGACAATATTTCCCCACTTTAATCTTGCCCTGTGAAGTCACCTCCCTACCGGAAAACACTGTAGAAAGTGATTAGATGTGTTAAACTCTGTAAATTAGTTCCATGACATAGGGCACCGACCATGGAAAAGAGCAAAAGAGCTTCAATCATCTGCACTCCCTGCTCCCGGGTCATCACTGAGAGAGAGAAGCAACATGTCTACTGAGGGGGTTATCAGATCTTAAGTGGCCTGTGAGCCCTAGAAATACTTCAATATTTAGAAAGGGAGAGGGTTTTTTTTGTGTGTTTTTTTTTTGAGACGGAGTTTCGCTCTTGTTCGGCAAGGGGGTTCTCTCTGACCGCTGGGTGGGTGTCGTCCATAAATCAGGGGCAGCAGGGGTGCCCCTCCTAACCCCAGCTGTACCCCCAGGACTTCCCAGAGTGGCATGACTGGTGCCAAGGAGGGGTCTCAGGCTCCCGGGGTCTTCCTCCGCGGGAGGCGTGGGGGCTGCACCTGGAAAGGAGGGGTTGGTATTGGGGCAGCTACTGCGGTGCTCCTGGGGACCGGAGCCTGGATCCCGGAGGATGGGGCCAGGGAGTCACCCCTTCTCCTTCTCCCAGCTCTAGTTCTCATGGGGCCGCCCCTTCCGGTCCCCGGTCTCTGCCCACCGCCCCTTCGCGCGCGGCACTCACCTGGTCGGAGGAGGAAGCCCACGCTACGCCGTCCGCCGAGGGCCCTGCCAGCTCGGGAGGCGCCGGGCCCGCTCCGGGGCGAGGCCTCCCGGCCGCGCTCCCACGGAGTCTCCAGCCGGCACCCGGCACCACGCGCGCCCGTCCGGCCTGTGTACGCGCGTCGCCATGGCAACGCCGCCGCGCGCCGGGGGGACCGGCCCAACAGGTGGGGGCGTGGCCTGCGCGGCGGAGGGGGCGTGGCCTGCGCGGCAGAGGGGGCGTGGGGACGCGCCAAGGGCGCCCATCCGGGTTACCGCCTGCCGCGCGCTCCAGGCCTCACGAGACTGCCCCGTTTCACAATGGGGGAAGCGGAGGCTCAGAGGTCACGGAAGCGGCCCAAGGCTTTACAGCGGGGAAAGAGCAGGGAGGAGATTTGATTCAAGAATCCTTTTCATTACCCCTCGCCGTAAGCTGGATGCGTTGAGGGAGGGTGGGGGGCGATAGGGAGAGGCAAGAGATTGATGGAGACCCTTGGAGGTTAGCATGCCCCCTGCCCTACCCAAATCTCCTCCTCTCCGTTACAGACCAGAAAATAGAAAGAGTAAGCCAGAGGGTTCCTCTGGGAGTGGGGTGGGGATTGGGAAAGGGATGGGGCGGAGCGAACAACTTTGAAAGAATGAGGATTTCTTCCATGTGCTGGGGAAAAAAATATTTCCAAACTCACAATGCTGCTGCCCCTGCTCCTCCCTGTAAAGAGTGACAGTTATTCGTTCTTTTGCTCTTTCTCTATCTCTGCAAACATCTTCTGAGTCCTGTGAATGTCACACACCGTTCCCAGGATACACCTGGAACAGGTATTGTCCTTGAGAAGCGCCTTGTCAGTCGGCACAGGACTCAGGGGTTGGAGTGAGTGAAGATGGGCAAATCCTGTCTCCCACCGCCGCCCACCTCCAATTCGGGGCAGACCGGCCTTGCTGACTCTACCTAGAGGTGATTCCTTTCACTGGCAGGAAATGGCTGACCAAGTACCTCAAAAAAAAACTCCAAGCGTTTTTGTAAGAGAGATGAACAGTGGCACACTCTAGCCTGGCGGTAAAGTTTGGCTGTGTGTCCCCACCCAAATCTCATCTCGAATTGCAATCCCCGTATGTTGGAGGAGGGGCCTGGTGGGAGGTGATTGAATCCTGGCGGCAGACTTCCCCCTTGCTTTTCTCTTGATAGCGAGTTCTCAAGGGATCTGATGATTTAAAAGTGTGGCAGTTCCCGCTTTGCTCTCTCTTTCTCTCTCCTGCTACACCATGTTCAACAATCTAGCTTCCTTGCTTCCCCTTGGCCTTCCGCCATGACCGTAAGTTTCCTGAGGTCTCCCTAGCAGTGCAGAACTGTTAGTCAGTTACACCTCTTTTCTTTATAAATTACTCAGTCTGAGGTAATTGCTTTATAGCAGTGTGAGAACAGACTAATACACCTAGCCAGTAGGAAGAGGATCTGAGAGAGAGAAATCGTAGACACTGATTTGGGGTGGAATATATGGTGAAGATGCTCAAACATGCCTGGAAGCTTTTAGAAATGCGGATTTCTAGGCACAGACCTCAGAGATCCTGATTTAGCAGGCCTGGGGCATAATCCAGGAATGTGCATTTGCAGCAAGCTTGACAAAAACCCTGATTTATACAATTGAACTGCAGAGACCTCTCTTGGAGTCTGTCCCTAGAGACCTTTTCCAGGCCCTCAGTCTGGAAGGTTCTGCCTAGATCAGTTTTCTACAACCAGAAAGATTCTAGGCATAAAGTGCTAGGAGTGACCACAAGGGCTGGGAACCACGTGATGGCTTCACAGGAACAGAGAGGGTCAGGCCCCACTCCCCACACGTTTCTGCCTCAGAGCCTTCGTTCTTGCTGGTTCCTGTGCCCGGAATGCACTTCCTCCCAGTAATCTTCTTTGCCTTCTTTATTTTAGCTTTTTACTCATATATCATCTTTTCTAAAACTGTTTTTTTGGAAAAATAAAACCACCACCACCAAATAAACAGCAAAAAAGAACAAATAAAAACAACAAGAAAAACTAAAGCAAATAAAAACAAAACGGCCAGGCGTGGAGGCTCACACCTGTAATCCCAGCACTTTAGGAGGCCAAGGCAGGTGGATCGCGAGGTCAAGAGATTGAGACCATCCTGGCCAACATGGTGAAACCCCGTCTCTACTGAAAATACAAAAATTAGCTGGGTGTGGTGCTACATGCCTATAAACCCAGCTACTCAGGAGGCTGATGCCTGAGAATCGCGTCAACCCAGGAGGTGGAGGTTGCAGTGAGCCAAGATCGAGATCATGCCAGTGCACTCCAGCCTGGGTGACAGAGCAAAACTGTCTCAAACAAAGAAACAAACAAACAAAAGAACAAGAGCACATCCAGACAAAATAAAAACCCAACACTCTATCCCTCTTCCTTTCTTTTTGCTGCCTGCCGTAGTTGGGATATTTGACCTCTCCAGATCTCATGATGAACTCTGATCCTCAGTGTTGGAGGTGGGGCCTGGTGGGAGGTGCTTGGGTCATGGGGGCGAATCCTTCATGGATGGCTTGGTGCTGTTCTTGTAGGGTGCGTGAATGCTTACTCTCAGTTTCCACAAGAGCTGATTGTTAGAAAGAGCCTGGCACCTCCCCCTTGCTTGCTCTCACTTCCTCTCTCATCATATGATCTCTGCACTTGCAGGCTCTACTTTCTGCCAGGAGTGGAAGCAGCCTGAGACCCTCACCAGAAGCAGATGCTGGTGCCACGCTTCTTGTACAACCTGCAGAACCGTGAGCCAAATAAACCTCTTTTCTGGATAAATTACCCAGCCTCAGGTATTACTTTATAGCAACACAAATGGACTAAGATGCCACTTACCATTAACTCACATACTATTTCTTTTCTTTCTTTATGTTGTTTATTGTGTCTCTCTCCCTGATCCCTGGTGGACACTAAATGCCATGAAGGCAGGGATTTTTTTTTTCCTGTTTTGTTGGCTGCTATGCTACCAGTCCCCAGAACAATGTCTGAATGAATAAATATGCAGGGGGAAGGCCCTGCCACTCTTCTGAATTCTGGTCTCCTGTCCTCGCCCCAGGATGCCGGTTTCTCTAGTCCCCTGCCCAGGCCTGAACACCATCTCCACCCCTACTCCTATCGCTCCATACTCTTGTCATTAACATGAACCCAGTGTTGGGAACCAGCCCAACCCTGTACGTGGGTGCCCGGAGTCCCCGCGGTGATGAGGGAGTGAGAAAAGAAGTAAGACAGACAAGAGTAGAAGTTCACAGTATGGGTCCGGGGGTCCAACGGTGACCCCTGTTGGCGTTGAGCTCTGGGCTGGGTGGGGACTGGGGGCAGAGCGGGAAGGGCGTGTGTCTTACAGCATTCAATAGCAAATGTGATTCTTCTAAGAAATTCTAACTAAGGACACTGAGTTTTACCACCCATTGTCTATTCTATCCAGGTGCCTCTGCAAAAGAGGCACAGTAGATAATGCGCCACAAGGTCTGAGCACACACAATGCATCAAGGGGCTTTTAACTCCTGAGCACTGCAGACCCAGAGCAATCGGAATTACTCCATATTCTGAGAACATAGGCAGAGCCTGTGGCGTTGGTTATCACTGCCCTGCAAGACTTTCCTGTCCTGCAAGCTCCCATCTGCAAAGACCGTCCTGTGTCTTGTGAGCAGAGGTCGCATTCCCGCTCAGAGTTCCTGCACAAGCCCTCTTTACGAGCCCCTCATGCAGACCCTATGTTGGGAAGAGATCGTGGGACCAAAGCCGTCTTTGCCGCCTCCCAACCCCACTGCAGCGTTCGCGGTTTAAAGTGCTCTCAGACGGTCTTCACTAGAGGCCTCCTGTTACCACTTGATCTCTGCTTTTATTTCACTGCACCATAGTTTGGAGTTTTCTTAATTCACTATTTGATCCGGGGCACAAATCTCAGTGTATAAAAAGCAAAGCAAGCTTGTAATCATTTATGAGTAACACAGATCTGCCCCGGCCATCTTTTCCTACAACCCAGGACACAAACTTGCTCACTATCCAACAGACCCCAATGAAACCCAGGCCGGCCATGAGCTGAAACAGCCCATGACCCTCACCAGGCTTTAAGAGGTCATCTGTTGCTGTTAGTTAATATCTCAATGAAAAAAATAAAGCAACAAAAACCTAAACTGAGAGCAAAGCTGGCACTCAGAATCAGTGAAGCTGAAGTTGCCAAATCTTAATTAAGGATGCTCTGTCCCTCAGGATGCCATTATCTCAAGGGGTGCAAAACTCTTGAAACCCAATTTCGTATCATCCATTTTCATTTTGTAAACAGAAAATCAAATACCCAATAACTTAGGGCTTTATGATATCATTTCCCGGGCTGGGTGGGAGAGTTGTACCTTGCAATTAAACAGTGATGAGACATTAAAAATACTGTCCCTTAAAAAAAACACAGAGGTGTTTCTAGATTATTTGTGCTTCTTGGTAGCACCTACAGTTAATCTTTTTTTTTTTTTTTTTTTTTTTTTTGAGACGGAGTTTCACTCATGTTACCCAGGCTGGAGTGCAATGGCGCGATCTTGGCTCACCGCAACCTCCGCCTCCCGGGTTCAGGCAATTCTCCTGCCTCAGCCTCCTGAGTAGCTGGGATTACAGGCACGCGCCACCATGCCCAGCTAATTTTTTGTAGTTTTAGTAGAGACGGGTTTTCACCATGTTGACCAGGATGGTCTTGATCTCTTGACCACGTGATCCACCCGCCTCGGCCTCCCAAAGTGCTGAGATTACAGGCGTGAGCCACTGCGCCCGGCCCTACAGTTAATCTTTTATTGAACTCTCGGTGGCTAGCAAGCCCATATTGTAGGAAATAACACTCAGAAACAGGGAGAAATGTGCCCAAGGTTCACAGAGCTAGAAAATCTGGCAGGATTTGAATCTAGATGAATGTGACAAAGAAGGTATTTCCCATGGGGACCTACAGGTGACAGCTGTCACAGTCACAAGATGCCACTCACTCACCGCCTGCTTTTTTTCACTTCTGAGCAGCCTGCACTCTTGTCTCTCCAAAGGCTCAGACAGTGCCCAGGCAGGGAGGGAAGGGGACATACGCCAAGAGGAGGCAGCTCAGGCCTGCCACCCACATTCCCTGCTGACATTGGGCACTGGGCTTCCTTCCTGCAGAACTTCTGCCCCCATAAAATCTCCTTCCTTTCCAGCCACTTTTCCTGGGCCATTCCTGACTGGGGAGAGCCCACCCATGTGCTCCATCCTCGGAGACCTGCCTGATGTTTCTCCTGATGTTCTCTGCTCCCTGATGTTGCATTCCAACATGAAATGAGTGCTGGCTTCAGGCCCCAGCCCCGGCCAGGACAGGTGGGGATGCTTCCCCAGCCTCTATGGCATGAAAGCCAGAGAAAGAGCAAGAGTGAGAGAGTACACGAGTGCAGGAAATAGCCAAGCTGTTGTGCAGGGTGACGGGTGACAGAGAGCAGAGGGCCCACTAGAGACTCCACAGCCCGTTAGTAACCTGACCATATAAGTTCAGGAAGTACGGATTTTTATATACAGACACACACATACAGACTCATAAAAATCGTTTCAAACCATGGAGAGAATCACTAGTAACTGAGGCCTCTGTAGCCATCCTTGCCTTTTCACCAGGCAGAAAATGAGAAAACATGCCGCTTCCTCTCAGGTGGGCTCTTGAATGCTGGTTTGGACCATCCATTTATCTTGCAAATCGGTCTTCAAAGTCAGCTCCCCTTGTTTCCTTGTGCTTTGCTGTGGGGGTCTGGCTGTACCATCCATTCAAAAACTGCAAAGTGTGCTGACCCCCTCTCCCCCGTCCTGGGCCTGCTTTTTGTTGCATTTTGTTTGTGCCTCACGTCCCTCGCCTGTAAAATGGGTATAACAATAGCACCGACCGAGAGGATTAAATGGGTTAATATGTACAAAAGAGTGGATCAGTGGCTGGTACAACTGAATGGGTCTATGAGTGTCTGCAATGATTACCTATTTTCTTTTCCTCTGATGCTGTGGGAGGAGAGCCCCAATATCAACCCAGGTCACACACACTCTGGAGAAACTTTGATTTGCATCAAAACTCAGTCCCACTCCAAAATAAACTTGATCTCTAGATGACTAGTCTCGTATCATCTGGCTGGCTGCTCTGAGACCTTTCTAGATGTGGATATGGATATAAGAGATAGGGTGTGCTCCTTCCTCTAGTCACAACTTGAGGTGATTCCTGGGAACCCAGCAGTCTCTATGGGGTGGCACCTGCTGGACAACTCCGTAAATTCTGCTTCCAGGCATGTGGGCAAACCTCTACTATGTTTTTCTGAGTGACAGTGAACCTTTATGAATGTGGTTAACAAAATCAGCTCATATTGTAGCAGGAGTGGCCGCGGCAAATGGATTTCCCTATCACTGAATACAGGAGGAAAGAGTTTATTTGGCCGGGAGCCTGGGCATAATTTGTCCAAAGCTCAGCTCCTCTAACAAAGGAAGGTTCTGCCTTTATATAGGCTTATACTTTAGTTATTACACATGGAATAATCTAAGGTTTATAGCTTTAGAAATCATATATGAAAAGGTTTCATCATAGTTTTAGGACTCACATGTGAAAAGGTTTTGGTTTACAGCTTCAGGAATCACATATGAAAAGGTTCCAGTTTACAATTTTAGGACTCACATGTGGAAAGGTTTTGGTTTACAGTTTCAGGAATCACATATGAAAGGGTTCCGGTTTACAGTTTTAGGACTCACACGTGAAAAGGTTTCTGGTTTGATCTTGTTTTAAGTAAAAATAGTGCCTTCCGGAGAATTTCCCTAAGACCCAGCCTGCCACCTGCAGGAAGGTGAAACAGGAGGCCCAGTCGGTCAGCCTTTTCTTCTATTGAAATGCAGTGTGATAGTCAAAGGGGAAGTTATCTGAGATGCCTGGGTCTCCCTCTTCAGTATTTATTAAGGCTAACAAGGTATCCACCACCATGTCATGCACAGTTTTAATTCTTAGCCCAACTCATTATACAGAAGGAGAAACTGAGGCACAGAAAAGTCAAGTAACTTACCCAGTTACAAGTCTTACAAATGGTAGTTCTGGAATTCAAACGCTGGCTGCTAGACTACAAAGTGCTATACTTTCTGTAAACTTTTTATTGAAGATAATATACATATTGAAAATACGCATTTGTCTCAGTTCATAATTGCACTTTATAGCATTACAAATGGGCTGAGACACCATTTGAATTTTTACTAAGTGTACTTACTCAGCTAACCAGAATCCAGATCAAGAAGCAAAACATCACCAGCACCCCTAGAAGTCTCCCTGTGACCCCTTCCAGTCATTATCTACCCCCGGGGGTTGCCTCTATCCTGACTTCCAATGTCATGGATTAGTTCTGTTTTGTTTGTTTGTTTGTTTTGAGACAGCATTTCACTCTTGTTGCCCAGGATGGAGTGCAATGGCGTAATCTCAGCTCACTACAATACCTGCCTCCCGGATTTAAGAGATTCGCCTGCCTCAGCCTCCCACGTAGCTGGGATTACAGACACCTGCTACCATGCCCAGCTAATGTTTGTATTGTTAGTAGAGGTGGGACTTCACTGTGTTGGTCAGGAGTTTGACCTCCTGACCTCAGGTGATTCACCTGCGTCACCTCCCACAGTGCTGGGATTACAGATGTGAGCCACCACGCTCAGCCAGTTCTGTTTGTTTTCGAACTTTATGTAAATGGAATCCTGCAAATTCCATCTTCTGTCTAGTTTCTTTTGCTCAACATTATGTTCGGGAGATTCAGGTATGTCTTTTCAAGTAGCTGCGGTTCATTCATTTTCCTTGCTCTGTGGCATTCCATTCTATTGGTTATCTATTGCTGCTTAACAAACTACCACAAACTTAGCAACTCAAAACAACCCACTTTTATCATCTCACTGTTTCTGGGGCTCAGGAATTGAGCAGGGCTCAACAGGGTCCTCTGCTTTAGGGTCTCACAGGCTGCAATCAAGGAGTTGGCCAGGACTGGGGTCTCATCTGAGGCTCAACTGGGGATAGATCTGCTTTCTTTTTTTTTGAGACAGGGTCTCTCCTGTTGTCCAGGCTGGAGTACAGCAGTGTGATCAGAACTCACTGCAGCCTTGATCTCCCAGCCTTAAGCAATCCTCCCACCTCAGCCTCCTGAGTAACTGGGACCGCAGCCATGCACCACTAAGACCAGTTATTTTTTTACTTATATTTTTAGTAGAGATGAGATCTTACTATGTTGCCCAGGCTCGTCTTGAACTCCTGTGCTCAAGTGGTCCTCCCACCTTGGCCTCCCAAAGTGCTGAGATTACAGGCATGAGCCACTGCACCTGGCTGGATCCATTTTCAAGCTCACATTCTTATTGGTAACATTCAGTTCCTTGAGCGTTGTCAGAAGGAGAGCCTCAGCTCCTTCCTGGGTATCAGCCCAGCTCACCCTTGGTTTCTTCCCACGTGGGCCCCTCTGGAACATGGCTTCTTCATCAATGCCAATAAGAGTCAATAGACAGAGTCTGTGACTCTGGACCCTCAATAGACTCTCAAGAGAGAGGTGGAAGTTACGATCTTATATAACGTAATCACAGAAATTACATCCCATCACCTATGCTGTTTTTTACACCCTAAAATAAGTTACAGGTGCTGCCTTGACAGAGTGTTATACTACTCAGCTTTGGATCCCAAGGGAATAAGAGAGAATTTTTCCCTAAGATTCTCCCAAAGGCCTCATGGCTTCTCATTTTCTCTGACTGAATCACCGACCCACTTCTAAGCCAATTAGTATGGTCCAGGGGACTGCTCTGCTCTGATTGGCCAAGCTTGAGTTACATGCCCATCCTTGCCCCCAGAGATGGAGTCAATTCTACCAGGAAAAGACTGAGACTGGGCTGAGAATAAGAAAGAGGGTGGTCTCCAAAGGGGAATCATATGTAACGCCATAATATTTTAGAAGAAAGGTGAATCAATATTGGGTGGCAGAAGCTTCAGATGTCTCCTGCAGTGGCTAACATGTACAAACCATGCTGACTTACTTTACAATTTGGATTTATGTCTTTTCTGGGGAAACTGGAACATCTGGCAATACTTGGGCTCTGTTCCTGTGCACAGAGCAATAGTCTGTGACGCATGTGGAGAGGCTGCCACCTCTAGGTACAGCCTGGGTCCTCCTCGCCCGACCCACTTATTCTTATTCCTTCTCATGTTCTATAACTGCTTGAGTTTTTACCCCTGATGTATTTCGATTATGTGGATCTGTTTATCCTGCCAGAATGGAAGTGCCAAAAGTACAGGGGTCAAATAGTTCTCCCTGTGTTCCCACAAAGTTCTGAGGTCAAATGCCTGGCCATTAAAAAAATTCAGCTTTTAGCCAGGTATGGTAGCTCACGCCTGCAATCCCAGCACTTTGGGAAGGAAGATCAC